CGCGTCAAGACCTTTACGGCTGCAAATATGCGTGTGCGCGTGCACAAAATACGTTTACGAATGCACATTTAATGTATAACGGACGGTATAAGCTAAGCTAAAATTATCTAATTCAGTTAATGTTGCACATTGCGTTGTTCCTTAATCTTCGAATTGGATTCGGCTTATTATTTTTTGCAGACTGTTAGAGCAATTTTATAAAAGTAAGCTTGAACTTTCCATTATGTCAAATAGAATTTCTGATATAGTATATTTACTAATATGTAAAGGATCTACAAAGAGAAAGTATGTTTCGAAGTCCATTAAACAAAAAGTGGAATTGCTGCAAAAAATGGATAAAGGCATATCCTTTGTTTATCTAAACTTTAACGTTTGTTTATCTAAACTTTGTTTTATCTTTAACACCGCGGCGCCCAATGAATTGGAAGTTGATCTGTCAACACTATCCTTATCTTCAGGGCAGATGTTTTTATTTTATTTGGCTTATAATTCCTAACTAAATGTAGTATTTCATCTCAATGTACTCCGTCTTTGATATGATTTAAATCAAATTCCTCGTCATTATAATTCGCTTTCGATAGCGAAAAAAGTGACAGAGGTTATTGAAAATGAAAAAATTTCAATTGACAAATTAGTCGGTATTCTCGACACAGCAATTATAGGACTTCAACAGTGGAACTTTGTAACTGAGCAAGAAATGATGTCTTTTTATAAAATTAAAGAGAATGTATTATCACATAAAAAACGAAGCAACTTAAACAACTTACAATGAAAGAAATGTTTAATAAAGTAAACAAATAAATATGAAGCTTTTTTTTTTGTAAATTTTGATATCCTTTAGATCATAATTGTTCTTTATTTCATAAATTACGGTTTCATATTTTTAAATTTATAATTTCTGCATGCCATCTTACCAGATTTAAACTGATGATCTATAATCCGGAATCACCGAAGTCCTGACAAGTCTGGATTAACGACTTTTGACTGTATTATTATATTGCCTGTAATTGTTCTAGTCAATTACAGCATTTTTGCACATATTAAGCTGTCTATCACATCATTTCATGGAAACTCCCAAGAATACATAAATCTAATAGAAGAGAGAAACTATATTCTGGAATTGCTGAATCAATTTCCAACATGAAAGCCCTTCCTCTTTTTGCAGTTTTTAACACTGCACTTCCAAATGGTTTGAATGTTCACATAGAGTTTCATGTTGTGCCTTTTTTACATACTCATTTATCAGGTGAAAGACCTCTTTCTTGGGGGGGGACAATATGGCATCCACCTCATTACTTTGAATTAAAGCTTGTTAATGTCATTCATACACACTTAAAAAAAAAAAAAAGCAATGTATGACATAATAAAAAGCAAGCAGCGTTGACGCGTACTTAGATCCATATTGAAAAGGATGCATTTTGATTGCACAGTATGCTAATATGCTGACTTGGTAATATCTAAAGAAATTTGGCAGTCGAGGCAGTTTCAATTCCATTTTTATTTTCCAATTGACGTTTGTGGCGACAATTCACTTGGCACTCTAGTATGCCTATTTCCAGAACAATTTTGATACTATTGTGATATAAGCGATCATTACAGAGCATAGATGATTGCGGCAAAGCATCTTAACAAGATGTAAGCACAAGCCAGAAGAGAGAGAAAGAGTCGCAGTACTTCAGAGGAAGAAGGGAGGAAGTTAAGTTTCAATTCGAGTTATTTTGGTTTACAATTATTTTGATTGGGAAAGAGACATATACATTAAGCATTAGGCAAGATCGCTTGATTACTGTGAATGACACAGTTTAGACTTGTGGCACTATTTTTAGCCAAAGAGAGGAAGTCCCTAAATTAAATAAAAGAGGTTATAGTGAATTAAATTAAGAAGTTTGCTTTTATATTTTTTACATATATATATTTATTTTAAATAAACAATGCGAATTTGGAAACCTCATCAAAATTGAATATAAGAATATGCAGTGAGCATGCACCGTGTTGCTCACGTTTATGGTATAAGAACATGTAGCTGGTGTTAATACATGATCATGTGGGGAGATACAAGAACATGCAGCCTGATTTTGCCAAAATACCTTGGCTGATAGGCGATTCAATCTCAGGGGCCACTATAACAAAGAAAGACCACACAAAGAATAGTCTAAAACATTCTGGCCACAATTCCCTGCCAGAAATGTGACAGTGAAAATATTTCACTGAAATCCAAGGCTTGATCTATAAACTGAGAGCAAACATCAGTTAGAGTATACTGAAGGGTGCCCCACTTGGATTATCACGAAGCTGTTTCATTCATCGCCAAGTTGTTGTTTCATTTATGGTATCCTGGGTAGTTGAATGTTATGGAAACCCTATAATAACATAATTGGTTGCATGATTACAGTGAATTTGAATGATGGGAAAAGATTTGTAAAGGCTATGTGTGTGTTGGATGTTGGTTAGAAAGTACATTGCTTATTTTGTGGTTTAATGGCTGAACGTGGTAAGATTAATTTGAATTTCTGTACGATTTTGAACTAAAGGGAAAAGAGCATTAATTGACTGGTATGTAAATGAAGGTTTACTCAGTAGCAAGTATAAGTGTCCTGTATGTATGAAAGAAATGCGTATGGTCGAAAGTCAGAGGGTACCGGTGCTATGGGGGATATTTTTTACTGCCATTTTTGTGGATTTATGTGCCAACGCCAGTATACAGATTCTAGTTCAGATAATTTTAGAAGTTTCTGGATGCTGTTAAGGAATTTTGTTTGACTGACGACACTGAAATCTCTAAATAAGGTAAGTGGATATTTCCTTTGTGTAGTGCTAAGATGAATTTCCTTTTTTATGTTATTTCATTGTTTGATTTAAAATGCAGTTTATTGAGATTATATATTTTTTGTTTGGTTCTAGTGTAGAACTGGCTGCTCCTTTGACTTTTTAAGTGACAATAGATCGATATGTGCATGGATACCGAGTTTGCCTAATTTCTTGACTTGTTATTTTAGCTTTATGTACTAGCGATTTTTGGTGCAATCGCCACCACATAAAGCCAAAATAACAAGTCAAACAATTGCACAAACTCAGCATCCATGTACCACCAAAAATCGCTAAGTTTCGCCAAGGAAAACCCATATTTTGTTACATCATTCTAAAGAGTCTGTTAATGCTCTTTTCCATGAAAAATCACTAGCACAGTCCAAGCATGGTAATTACTTTTCAGATAGGAAAATTCACCTACTTTTTATTATAAATTCATCATACTTCTTGGAGAATAAGACTTTGATAATGAGATAGGGACTTTTCTTTCCTCAGTGTCAAGGTCTATCAAAGAGTTTATTTTTCAGGATAAAATAGGCATGCATTTAGAAATAAGAATTAATTTTTAAGAATTTAATTTTGATAATCTTCCTTATTATCAAAATAAAATTTCTGATATCAAAAAGAATCTTCTGCCAAAATTGAGGTACAGTTACATAAAAGAAGTGTGAAAGCCTTCTTATTTTTGGTTTTAGTGTACTCCAGCCAAAATTACAATTTATCTACAGAATTTAGAAGTACAGATGCAATTTAAGCTCTTCATGAAATTATGCTGCACATGAAAAATGTCACCCCCAAAAACATGCTGCCCTAATTCCTCTTCAGCTAAGTCACAACTTATGGTTTCATAATTGACTATGGGGCCCACCAGCGGCCGAGCGATAAAGTCGCTGAACACTGGTAGTTCGGTCCGAGGTTCGAATCCCGCAAACGGCTGGCTGCATGGGCGTTTTCGTGGTTTTCCTCATGTGTAATGTGTATACGAGCCAGTTTCCCTTAGAAAGTCCTCCACGAAGGCATCCCTTCCCTTAGGCAGATAGCCCTCGAGGCTTTGCCATAATCACACACACACACACACATAATTGACTATGATGAAGTGAGTTCAACTTTTCTTCTCATATTTGTCTTACAAGTGTTAATTTAACCTGAGTTCATCAATGACCTAGTTGAGTAATAAGTAATGAAAAATATTTTAATGCTTTTCTTTAAAATACAGAAACCTGCATTTAAGTATATTAAACAATTAAAATCCATTTAAGTATTCTACATAATTAAAATTTTAAGTAATGCTGCAAAATGCTCAGAACAGAATAACATAAAAACAAATAAAAATTTAATGCTTTTTTCTCTCAGATTTAGTATTTTTTTTTTCTTGCTTCAGTTAGTACCAAACATTTTTAGTGGGTGGTCACCCTGGTTAGGTATTTATTATCATGGTATATATGGCTTTGTTCACTGTAATTTTTTCCTATTATCTATCTAAAAATTTTTTTGTGCGCAATTAAAAATAGTGCACCTAATAAATACTAATACTTTACTTATTTTTTTTTTTTTTTTTTTAATTATAAGAAGTCTAACTTAGATTTAAGCAATATAAGTAAATTTTCAAGAGTATATGAACAAAAAATGGTTAGTAACAACCAAAACAAGTAAATAATAAAGAAATGCCGCATATATATTTACGTAATTAAATAATTCACGGATGAAACACAAAAGAATTTTGCTTATAAACTAATCACAACTGACTGAAGAATATTAAATTTATTTTTATGCATGTATTTATTAAGTCATACATTGAAAATCATAAACTGACTAGGAAAATTCATGATCTTGTATGGGTTATTAAATAAAATAAACAGAATTTAATAAAACTTATTCAACGAAATAAAACTAAGCATTTCCTTTTTTAAAATTGTAATTATTTTATTTTATTTTTATCACTGGAATCTAGAACAAACACGGAATTAAAAGAAAATATACATCTATTTCCCAAATCTTTAATTAAAATGTTCTGCTTTTACTGGGAATTACCAACTGTCAGTTAATACAAAATTTATTGATTCCAACGCACATCATAATACTAGTATTGTTATTTAATAATTTAACTAGTATTTAGTATACTGTAAATAATTCTCTTTTAACTACAGAGATTTCTTAATAAAAAAGTAATAAAATTACTAAATTTAACTTACGTAAAAATTCCAAATTTCTATGCAAAGATGCATCAATTGACGCAGTGTACGCATAATTAAAAATCTCAAAACTACTAACTATTCTCGTCAAACATAAATCATCCAATTTCAGATCTGCCATGTTTAAGATACAGTATTAGATTTTTCTTACTTTGTACTATATCACAATAATATATCTCAATGCCAAGCCGTATGTATCTCAGTCAATGAACCCAGCAACAAAGTAGAAGTTTTTTTGTCTTAATCTTATTATGCAATCATTTCACGAATCCATATTATAAAGTAGGCTACGGTTTTATAGTTGCATGAGATCATTCCTGTAAAAAGACGTCCTGAAAAGCACTCATCCGACGGATAGCGCCACTTGACAAGACCGATACTTTTCTTTCGAAACATATCGTCTACAGAGCGTCTCGCCCTAGCATAGTTTATGCTTCGCTTGTCATCATGTCTATTAAGATTTCTTTTACCTCAAGGATCTTGTGTTCCTTGAAAATTGTTCCTGAGACTTCCATCTGATTTTCACTAGAATATGTCTTGGAAGTTTAAATTTGTATTCTGAAAGAGTGAATTTGGTATTATTTATTAGATTGAGTACTTGAATTACGATACTGAATGACATTATTAATAACATCGTTGGTTGTGAGAGGAACAGAAGCTTTTATATCCTTATTTAGAATATGATTGTAGTCAAATCAGTTAACATAACATTTTATAGACTGTCGCAATCCATATGTGGTAAATTTCAGTGACAGATGATCAGAATGAAGATTGTTATCAACATGTAAATATGGAGACCGTGCTGTGTTGCAGGTATATCTCAGGCTGCATCAGACAGTATATATCAGACAGATGATCAGAATGAAGATTATTATCAACATGTGAATATGGAGATTGTGCAGGTTGCAGGCTATATCAAGAATGTCAGAACTGTGCCTGCAATGAGTACATTAATTGTCAAGTAAAACATCATTTGATTGTCTCTGTGAGAATTCTAATTTTGATGCTTATAATTGAAATTTGCTGCTAAGATAGTTGGGTTACCGAGATTTAAAATGATATCGAGATCTTGCATGTTTAAGCTTTTATTAGGGGCCTTAGAGACCGAAACGAGCAGATACTCAGTGTGATTGCAGTGAATTACGCATGCAAAAGTTTCAGTATTCTGCAGCAGAGACAGATCATATGCATGTTTTCCGGTGCAGCATTTAACAATATTAAGTACTCTTATAATTGTCTATGTAATCAGTCGGGACGATGTATGTCATAATTTGAAACTTTAAATTGGTCAGTGGTTCTCAGGTGAGTTTCAATTATCACTAAAATTTTCGAAGTTATTACTGTAAATGTAATTTTTTAATTGATGAGGTCAGTGTTTAACATTATTCGCATTAAAAAACGCAAATTTGATGTAATTTACATTTCTAAACATAAAACTAAGAAAATGGCAACAGTTTCTGTAAGCCAACCAGATGCAGTATTTGGAAAGCATGGGGAGGAGAGGGGGGCAGGAAAATCTTGTGTTTTTCACTTTGCTGTTGAGTTAAGTTTATGGTATCGGTGAATTAAAGTGCGGAGGCTTTAATTTGGGTACATTATATTTGCAATTGAGGAATAATTTGTTGACATATCTGAAATATATTTATATAGTTTTTGAGATAATCAGAATTTAATATTATTCACATTTACAATATGTAATTTACGAAAGAATGTAATATTCACGAAATTTTATTTTCTTGAAATTTACTGAAAGCTCTGATGAGCTTCTGTTACTGTTATGTTTTTATTCGCTGTTTTGTTCAGTAATTTTGTTGCCCTAATTTAACACTAAATTTATGTTTTTTATATCCAAGATATCTATTATAACAGAATATTTGAAGTTATCTTCGATTCATCTGGGGGGAATGCAGGTAAAAATAAAAACTTTTTTTCTGATACCTGAAATTATATTAAGTATTTATAATTAGTTTTCTTAACTTAGTTTTCTTAGTCTTCTTTTACTTAGTATTTCTTAGCTTAATTTTGTATTTCTTAATTTGTTATCTGCTGGAAACTGCTCATCTGTCGTTTCTGCTTCATGTATAACAATCTTTCGAAGAGAATTTTTTAGTTTAATTTTATGTTTATTAATTTATTATCTACTAGGAATTATTGATCGGTCTTTTTTTATTTTGGGTATTACAAAAATGTTTTGAAGAGAATCAAATATGCCTGAAAGTTACATTTTTATATGTACTGTGCCATGTTACATTTTGATATGTTACTTTTTTAATAATAGTATAAATGGGATTTGGTACTGTTATTTTATGGGGGGGGGAAGAGCTAGATGTCTGGAAAACTGTCATGTAAACAAAAGTTAGACTCTTAATGTCTCAGAAATACTGAAATTTTCTCATACATTTTAATTTATTTAATCTGACTTAGGTTGATCTTTACAATATGGTAACTGGTAGTTTGGCGACATTTTGGAGGCGATAAAGGTTACTACCTGGGACTTTACTAATAATGTGAGCAGTACTCAGTTCCGATTACGCATTATTTTGCGTGAGGGAAATGAGAGATCATGGGATATGTCATGTGATATTAATGGACGAATTATGGTTCTTTAATCGGAAGAGGGGGGGAAATCGGGAAAAAATCTGGAAATTTTGTATTTAGCTTTATTCTGTGTTGTGTGAAACAGTGTTGGTTAATTTTTGGATCCCATGGCCCTAACTAAAGTGAATTCGAAATGGGTATTTAGGTATTGTGATAAAGAGAAGTTTGCTTTTTATTTAGCAGAGGAAGTATGGAGGAAAAATTCGCAGAAAAAATCTTTCAATAATTTTATTGAATGAATTAAAAAAGTGTATCCGCCACGTAATGAAGATTCTGAAGAAGATTAGGTAAGTTAGTATTTTTAATTATTTGAGGATATATTTTTATGCATTGTTCTAAATGTAAGGTGGAAAGGAATTTGGTATTATTGGGAAAATTGTTATTAGCAATGATTTAGTTTAAAGTAATTAGGATTGTAAGGTAATTTTATTAATTTAATGTATGTGCTCATTTATATTTTAAGTAGTGTTTTTTGAATTTAATTATATTTTAATGAAATGATAGTTATTTTGTGAATTTTATGTTTGTAGGAATTTGGTATACGTTTTAGTTGAAGTAAACGTGCATGGAAATAATTTAAATATCTGACACTAAGTATTTGTAATGGTTGCAGTATGAATTCGTTGGTGACGTCTATAATATAATAGATGATTTAAGAGGTACAAGTTTTTGGATATTTTATTTATTTTATATGTGGAAATGTTCATATTTGGAAAAGGTAAATACTTTTTCGCGATCAGGTAATTTCATATATGTTCTTTTTACCGGGTTTAAAGATTGAGAAAATTGTCATGTATTTTTGTGAAATTTTTCTAATTTATGAGAAAAAAGCAGTGTACATGGATATAGTGAAGAGTGTGCGCAATGCCATTTTTGTGCAATTCTGGATGTTTTTTTTAAGTAAAAATAAGTCGATGTGTACATGGTTTAGTGATATTTTAATTAAATGATAGTTTATTTTGTGAATTTTATGTTTTTGTAGGAATTTGGTATACGTTTAAGTTGAAGTAAACATGCATGGAAAATAATTTAAATATTTGATACTAAGTATTTGTAATGCTTGCGGTATGAATTCGTTGGTGACGTGTATAATGTAATTTATAATGTTGGTGACGTGTATAATGATTTAGAGGTAAAAGTTTTTGGATATTTTATTTATTTTATATGTGGAAATGTGCATATTTGGAAAGGGTAAATACTTTTTCGCGATCAGGTAATTTCATGTATGTTCTTTTTACAAGGTTTAAAGATTGAGAAAATTGTCATGTATTTTCGTGAAATTTTTCTAATTTATGAGAAAAAAGCAGTGTACATGGATATAGTGAAGAGTGTGGCGCAATGCCATTTTTGTGCAATTCTGGATGTTTTTTTAAGTAAAAATAAGTCGGCGTGTACATGGTTTAATGTGTATGTGTTATTTTGAAAAACGCGTAAGGAGTATGGTATTGTGCACTTTTTCCCAATTTTGCAGTGAATATTTGTCATGATTAAGCAGTTTTGTTTGATAAAATTTCTAGCATAAGTGTAATTCGGCTAGTAGATTGTTGGAAGAAGTGTTCAGTAGATAAAAAGAAAAGAAACATGTCTTTACTTCGTGAAGACAAAATGGCGGCGGGGAAAAAAAAATAGAGGGTTGCTGTAGGAGAGTTGGTTGCCAAATTTTCGCCAAAAAATCGCCAAGTTACCATAATGTAAAGATCAAACCTGACTTAATTTTTTTTTATCAAGCAGTCATTGTTCTGTAATAAATTTATGTTATAAGATTGTTACTAATTTTTCATTGCATGTTCTTTTAACTGCCTAATTTTCTTCAATCTGTTTCTGAAATGTGAAGGGAAAATATAATTTTCCTGATGTATTTTTAGGTTGGTGCTTTTGAATTGGTTTTTCACTATTTATACATAACGGGGTTTTGAACTCAGTTTGAAAACATGTCTTTGTTAACTTCTGCACTTAATTGGTACCATGAAAAGGTGAGTCAATATGTACTGTAGATCACTTTTTTAAAGTGTTCCCTTTAAGATATGTAATGAGTATTTTAAAGAGAATCTGATATGCATAGGCCACTTGGAAAAATTTCGTAAATAATCATGAGAATTATGACTTAAAATAAGTAAATCAGAATTTTAAAATAAATTTATTCAAACTTAAAATAGTGTCTCTACTGTATGCTTTCCTGAATTGTATTATTTTTTATTATATTTTAATATTAGAATGATATTTTTTATGCAGATATTTAAATTAAACAAATGTTAGGTTTGTAATGTGATGATTTTTCTGAAATTATGCAATATTTAACTGCAAATTTGGATAATCATAAATATTTTTAAGATTTCAAAGCACGTTCTTTATTTGTCATTCAAAAAGCTAAAAAATATTTCCAGGTTTGTAGCCTGTTGTAATTAATTTGACATAATCATTTTTGAAGATCTGTGTTAATGTTAAAAATAATTATGTTAAAAATTTTTGCTATTTCTCAAATTATTGTACACGTAATTATTATAAATGCACAGTAAATTAGAAGTTTGAGAATCCTTAATATATTATCTAGCTTTAATGCTTTTAAAAGAAAATATATAGTTAATTATTTTTTTAGCTTTTACTTTTAAGTATATAAATAGGAAATATTCATACAAAAATACAAACTGAAGCGTAGTTTGTGAATCTTCTGGTAAATTTTATAATTAATACCTATGCTTTCTAATGTGAAGAAAGAAAAGAAATTTACATATTAGTTGTATGCTAAAAACTGTAGATAAATTTAAAAAATGCTTTAGCAATTTAAATGGGATAGTCTGTTCATAATTTGCATAAGCATATTTTGAAAACTGAGAGCTTAAATAATGGTTTTATGTTTTATGATAAATACCAATGAATGGTTGAATAAAATAAACTGTTTTATAAAAAATAATAATATAAAAATATTTTGTAAATATGTTTACAATAAAAATGCTTTACCGTTTACAGTATTTTGCTGAATGATTTAATTTAATATTTTTTGATATTTTATCAAATATCTCAGTTCTATTAAATTATGAAAAACTATTTGTTATTAGCACACCATAAAAATCAGAGTAATTAGTTTTTATTGGTAAGTTGCATATTTCAGTTTTGAAACCTTTAGATGAAATTCTGAACTTGAAGTTTCTTGTAATAAAGGATGTATGGTTGTTTTATTAAGATACTAGCTTACCGATTTGAAAAAATTTTGCTTCTTCAAATATATTTAATACAGTGCTGTTTTACTGATGTTTTTAGACTATTTTAAAACATTTATTTATTAAAATTTTAGCAATGGAAGCAGTTGTACTAAATATTTCTTCCAGCAATAAAGAAAACTTTGCTAAAATGTCTGCATAAATACAGTATTTGCTTAAAAATCATTAAAGGGAACAGTCATGATGTGCATTCATAAAATACCAGTATGTAATGCTGAGCTTGTAATTCTGTGATGTGAAAACAGATGACTATGTACATGGGAAGAAGGACAGAGTTAAAAATGTATCATTTGATACTTATTTAATAATTAAAAATTTTAGTACCTGTATTTATGGAAAGGTGGAAATATTATCAACATGTTAAAAGTAAATAAGGATTATAATGATATATTAAAAAATATAAACATGATTTTCGTGAAGTCTGTCTGTAATTTTTTTAATGCTGGTCTTCTTCTTATATATACAGCAATCTGTTTTCAGTTAAAAAATATGAGAGAATTGTGCAAAACCTTGGCATTGATCACCAGCTATCTACCGAAATCATATCACTGTTCCCTTTAGCACTTAGGCAGTATATCGTATTCCTGCAGGAATTTTACTGGAATTTCTTTAATTGCTTCAATTTACTGGAATTTCTTCAATAAGCACATATTTTAGATTTAAACTTAAACATGTTCAGCTTATATTTAAACACCATTGGAACTTGGAATAAAATAAAAAGAATCCGTACTATAATGGCAATGTTACTTGACTGAAGGATTGCTATGAGCATGGTTGTCTGAAGAATGGTTATGTGCATAGTTGCCAGAGTTTGGTACATTTGGAAAATTTGGCAACTTCTATTACGGTGATAATACTTAATTGCCAAACTTCTGTTTCAAATTTTGTAAGTATGTTGTCTTTTGGTATAAGGCTTGTGATGAATATCAATAGTTTAGGAATGTTTTTCAAAAAGTCATGAAAATAGCCGATGATCTCCAAAGTTGGCAGCGAGTTTGCAACTTCTTGATGTGGCATAAATAATCAGAAAATACAGTCAAAAGTTGTTAATCCAGACTCGTCGGGACTTCAGCGATTCCGGATTATAGATCATCAGTTTAAATCTGGTAAGATGGCATGCAGAAATTATAAAATTAAAAATATGAAATGGTAATTTATGAAATAAAGAACAATTATGATCTAAAGCGTATCAAAATTTACAAAAAAAAAAGCTTAATATTTACTTGTTTACTTTATTAAACATTTCTTTTAATGTAAGTTGTTTAAGTTGCTTCGTTTTATGAGATAATACTTTCTCTTTAATTCTATAAACAGACATAATTTCTTGTTCAGTTACAAAGTTCCGCTGTTCAAGTCCTATAATTGCTGTGTCGAGAATACCGACTAATTTGTCAATCGAAATTTTTTCGTTGTCAATAACCTCTGTGTCACTTTCTTCACTATCGGAAGTGAATTATAATAACGAGGAATTTGATTTAAATCATATCAAAGACGGAGTACATCGAGATGAAATACTACATTTAGTAAGGAAGCATAAGCCAAATAAAATAAAAACATCTGCCCTGAAGATAAGGATAGTGCTGACAGATCAACTTCCAAGTCATTGCGCGCCACAGCGTTTTCCCCCTCCTCTTCCTTCCGCAGCGCAGCGTGAAATTGATAAACAGATTTCAGAATGGTTAGATAAACAAAGGATTATGCCTTTATCCATTTTTTGCAGCAATTCCACTTTTTGTTTAATGGACTTTGAAACATACTTTCGCTTTGTAGATCCTTTACATATTAGTAAATATATATCGGAAATTCTATTTGACATAATCAAAAGTTCAAGCTTACTTTTATAAAATTGCTCCAACAGTCTGCAAAAAATAATAAGCCTGATCCAATTTGAAGATTAAGGAACAACGCAATCTGCAACATTAACTGAATTAGATAATTTTAGCTTAGCTTATACCGTCCGTTATACATTAAACGCGCATGCGTAAACGTATTATGCGCATGCGCACACGCATATTCGCAGCCGTAAAAGTCTTATGCGTATGTGTCAAATTGATGAATGCGCAGAAAGGTTTTAGCTTTGAGGTCCAGGTTATAGATCATTCCGGACTTTACAACTTTCCATTAACGACTTTTGACTGTATTACGTTTTGCATATATATATGTGTGTGTGTGTGATATTTTGCCAGTCAAGCACATGAGTGACTAAGCTTGCCATCAGAGTCCGGGCATTGTTTGGCAGAGTGGAATATAGCAGAAATGATGACACAGAAGGATTTCACTTTTTACTGTTCCATATCTTTATTTCAATTTTCAGCGCAGATCATTTTTACTTTAGATGAAATTCTCCAAATTACATATTCAATAGTGATTTAAGCTATGTGTGATTAAATTTAGACTTTCAGCGGCATAACTATTCTAACAAAGGAAAGATGGGTTAAGCAGCAGCGAAGTGTTGTAGCGCAGAAGAGAAGCAATATGATGCAAAATGGTGCGACTTCGTTATTTATAGAAGCGGTTATGTAATAGGCTCGAATGCTCTTGAAAATACTGGTCTAAAAGGAAGATCCTGAAATTGCGAAAAGTTAATTGGAGGTTGCTTGTTCACGTAGAGCAAAGCCATCATATTTTTTATATTTTACATATATATATGTAGGCAAATCCTAGCAGGGGACAAGATGGCACACAGCATGTATGTGGTCAAAATTAAGGGCAGAGAAATGATTATTAATTTAAAAATTTCAAGCATAAGGCTTGTAAAAAGGAGCAGCCAATTGTAATTTACACATGGGCAGCCGATGGTCTTGGATCTGCACTGCATATACATTGATGCATACAAAAGTAAACTTGTTAAGGATAGTAAAAGTGAGAGTAAATTGGTGATTCTCTCTCATCTAAAGCAAAAAGGTTTAAAATTTCAACTTTTTATAGTTTTTTAATTTCATCATGTATGTATATTTAATCTTCATCAAGTTTTTCATTGCTTACATTGTTTACTTTTTAGATCGGTGCCTACGATAAACAACTATGGGAAAAATCTGTTGATCAGCGAATTTTGAGGGTAAATAATTTTTATAACTTTACAAATTTTTTATGGATAAATTTCTGCTAAGTTTTTTTTTTTTTTTAGTACTGTAAGAGCTTGACTATCCGGAAGGCTCAGGAAATGCTGATTTCCAGATATGTGAAAATTCCATATAGTTGAGCATTTAGAAATGGAATCCATGTTAGAAAAGCCAAATTAGTGACGGGGGAATGGTGAGCCAACATTTAAATTTAAGATTTTGAGAGGGAAAAAAACTTATTTCAGTCTAATAAGCGATTTCATAGGTCATATCTGATTATGAAATTTCCCTGAGTATGAAAGTTGGCAGAGATGTCGCCAGTCATTCCAGCAGAAGTTTAACTGAACGTGTCATTCTTTATTTTGTTAAATAATGAAGAAATGCAAATTATGGATATAGCACACAGAAATTTAAATCGCTTATCCTATTTTTTCATGTTACATCATCATTGTTTATCTGTTTTCAAATTTACTTCTCATGTTTTTTTTTTTTTTTTTTTTAAATTCCAAATATTAATAATTTTTTCTAAATGTGAGGGCAGTGTAGTGAAAATTCCATGGTTGTCTAACTCCAAAAAACTACACTTGGGTTAACAGAAAAGATTCTTTGTTCAGGATGAGCAGCACTCTATATACACAAGCATCGCTTACTTGATGATGGAAAGTAAATGCAACAGGATGAACAGTTACTTGGGCAATCGTGGAGGTTCCTCTGCTGAAGAAAAACAGAAGAAGAAGCACTTGGTACAAAATTATGACCCGTTTTAAAGTCTATTGTGATGTGCACTGCATTTGCTCGCACTGTGGCAAGTATAAGCATAATATCTGCCACATCCTCTCCCCTTTCCCGGACAAAGTTCATCAGACATAAAGATAAAATTGTATGAAATTAAATTGATATACCTTTACAAACTTTTAAACTTCTAAATAATATAGTAATTGCACTGGCTTTCTTAACATACTACTTGAATGTGCAACTGCATACCTTTCCATCTCTTCCTTTATGAATGTCTGTAATCTTTCCAAACTGCCACATATGGCGAGGTAACTTGTCCTCTTGTATTAAAATGACATTACCCATCTGTAACCCGTGCATGATGTCAATAGCGTTATATGGTGAGCTATCTTCAACTGGAGTAAATATTCCTTGCACCATCTGTACCAGAAGTTATTCAGCAGGCCATGAGATTATAGATACCTTTTCAGGATAGCATTTCTGCTGCAGGTAACGTTATCAATATATCTAGCTAGATCAGGTAGAGCAGTCAGTCTTTTACCTACTAAGAAATAAGAAGGAGTTGGAAGAGATTGTTCAAAAGGATCATTATACACATAAGTAATTGGCCGAAAATTAATGATAGCTTAAATTTCCGTAATTACAGTTTGCATGTCTTCATAAGATAATCTTTAAATCTTTCCTAGAATCTTCCTCAAACTTTTATTATTTGTACCATCCTCTCTCCAAATCCCCCCTCCAAGCATCCTTTTCTACTATGTACTTAAACTTGATTCCCCTTTTTCTGTAATAATTCATAACATGATCATCAGTAACTGACATCTATAATCTTCGGAGATCGTATTTGGCTTGTTTAAAAGTTTTTCCATTATTGCTATTTATGACCTTACATAATCCACGTCTTGCTATGAAACGTCAAAAAACAAGAAGATATTTCTCATTTGTTAAGCCTGTAACCGTTTCTAAGCGCAAGTTACTGCACATGAGAAAACTGCTATATATGCCTTTTCATTTAGACCTTTCACATACAGTGGACCAGCAAAATCTACTCCAATAACCTCAAATGCACATGTTTATTTAACTGTCTCGAGAGGTAATGGAGCTGTTATCTGAGTTCCATGGCTTGCCTTGAACCTTTTGAATTTATAACAATTCTTCAAAACTCTCTTGATGCTTTGGTAACCTCTCAGTATCCAATAGCGATCTGTAATTTGTATGAGTGTGTCAGAAACCCCGGAATGCAACACATTTTGATGTTCTCGTGTAATTAACAATTCTGTAAATCAATGCTCTCTAGGAAATATCCACGGGTTTTTTTTTGCCTAGTAGTAAAACATGAATTCAGAAGCCCTCTGCTTAAACGTACGAGTCCATTTTCGTCCAATTTCAGGTCAAGGCCAGTCAATAGAGAAAATCTATTCATCACCTTTTTTCCTCGAGATAATTGTATTAATTCCATTTGGAACTCTGTTTCTTAAACATATTTTACCCAGAACCTTTCAGACTCAGCTAATTCCTGTTCTGCCATGTATCCTTTTATCTTCTCAGATTTCAGTTTATTTTGAACAAAGTACTTTATCCATGCTTTTATTCAAATAACCCTATGAGACTGCTATAATTATTCAAATTCAATAGCGGTTCACATTCTGTTTTAACTTCACATGAAATATTTAACCGCCTTTCATTTTCAGTGTCTGCATAGTCCCGACGTTTAATCTATGTTTGGAACTTTGGGTTTTGAGATTCCTGAAGCCAACCAGGTCCATTCCACCAAAGCTTATCTGACACAAGAGAATGTGCTTTTTCCCTGTGCATAATTTTATCAGCTGGATTTTCTTTCCCTGGACAAAAATTCCAATTTTGAGGTTCCGACTTTTGTTGGATTTCTACAACATGATTTTAGATGAATTACTTCCAGTCTCGAGCACAGCCCTTGATACAGCACAAATATATTTGTGAATCAGTCCAAAGAAATATATCAGTAGGTTTAAGAAATGTAAATATGGATAACATATATTTGCCTAATTTCGCTGCTATTAGAGCTTCCAGAAGCTCGAGTCGTGGAAGCGTAACTCACTTAATTGGCTCCCAGAAACTTGAGTCGTGGAATTGTAACTTAATTAACTGGCACCAATCGAGATTTAGCTAGCAGGAAACTTGTATTCCAGCCTGCTTTGGATCACGTTTTTAAGTAAGCTTCTGCTCTATGTGCTTTTAAACTAGCATTGGAAAATATGTGCACTTCCTAAGATAAAAAATCTTCGCAGTAGACTCTCTTAATGGCCAAATTTTGCAGGTGATTGATTTTGATACACCATTCCTTCCACTGTGACTGCAGATCATTATGTGAAGGTTCATCCAATTAATTCCGTTCTCCCAGATTGACCTTAATAAAAATTTCATTCTGATAGTAATCTTGCCACATGTTCTTAACACGGTATGTTTTGTTGCTTGCTTTTTGCCAACGCGTTCGATCACCTTTAAAACATTGGATAAATCAATCTTCAGGATATCGTCTGCATTATTCCATACAAGTCCCAAAACCTTCAATGGTATATCGTTGAAGTTAGATGCCGGCTGACAGTCAATATCTTTCTCTGACATATGTCCTTCATCTCTTCAGAATTCATGGCAAATTTTCGTAACTTCATGCTGGCTTCCCCATTATTTCTCATGTATCCAAAGATATGAACAAAGCCTTTTCCACAGTGCTCTGCAAATTAAATAATCAGCATAAAAGATTATGTAACATTTGGCAAGCTTTGTTTTTACTTTCTATATATATTTTTAAATGCAATCTAATCGTTGCAGAGAGGAGAAATGGGATACATGAGACCACAAACAGAACTCTTGCAAATCTAAATAATTTCAAGTTATTTTCTTGGTAATTTACTTGATTATTCCTAAACCAAAGAAATCTAAGGAAATTTCTTTCTTCTGCACTAATTCTTACCTGCAGAAATGCTTTCTTGATATCTGCTACAAACCCAACTTTAAATCTGAAAATTTACTATTATCTTAAGCAAATCTGGTAGAAGATTAATTCCCAGATCTAGACAGTCATTAAGGAATACTTCGTTTTCATCCATAGAGAATGCATCGTATACAATGCGTAACTTGGTGGTGGATTTCTCTTCTTTCACAACTCCGTGATGAGGAAGGTAGTAACTCTTATTACCCAGAACTTGGGATTGCCATTCTTCAATAATCCCTTTGTTTAACTGTTCCTGTAACACTGCGTCATAGTGCTGGAATAATTGTAAATTGTTTCTTAATTTATTTCCCAGCTTATTAAGTCTAAACTTAGCTACATCATAATTATTACTTAAACTCTGTTGATGCTTTTTCCACAAACGTTTAGTTTTATATGTTTTATCTTTATACACCGTGTTATTATCAAACAAATGCATGATATCCTCACTGCATTGTTTTCCACTTCAGAATTGATTTCTATCATGTTCAACTCCCATAAAGTTTCTAATTTCTCAGAAATACATATTTGTTAAATTATCACATTACTTACACATACAACTGAAGAGCTAGGCTTATAAAAAGTTCCTCCTTAAACCTCAAATCCGAAAATGCTATTAGTAGCGATTAATCTTCGGCTTAATCTTACTGATTTATTATGTAAAATATCGCACAAATAATCGGCTCCTATCAAAACATCAACATCTGTATGTGTTCCAGTATTTGATAATTGAAACTCTTTGGTGAGCGCCATTCGCTTTACCCAGTTAGTAGAACCTTCTATTTGCCCATTTGTGATTTCTTTGTAATGAGGGCTTCAACTGTAATATGTAATACTGGATTAATTCTATTGTGCAGATTTAAATGAACTATGCCATAAACTCACGAAGATGAACTTGCCCCCAAATCCAAATATTTTAATACAGTCCTTCTTAACTACATCTAGCGCTAAATGATCCGCTATTTCTCTTTTGACAAAGCTACGCTGAGATCCAGAATTATACAGAATTCTTTCTAACTTATGTTTTTCACCTGCCTTTAAAATAGCACTACCAGTTTGTAGTAAAATGTTTCCCTTTCATGAATAATGTAAGTTAGAAACTGAAGTTGATGTATTCTCAGATTCGGGTGTGGTTTCACTTTTCCTAATTTTCCCATCGCAAATTAAATAATTATGTGGCCTGCTGTATATACTACATGTGTCTTTTTGCCAACACTGTTTTGTGACATGTCTACGTTATAGGCAACGGATGCGCCAATTTTGCCTCTCGCTTCCTAACCGGAACAGCCA